TGCATCACACACTCGATCGTCGAAAACCGCTCTGAGAAATACAATGCAACTAAGTGCGGAAACTAGTCACACTGAATAAATGTTGTTCGGGAAATACAATGCGAAATAGTGAACACAAAGTGGGCCCGCACAAATCCCGAAATATCGGCTCTGACAGGAATGCGCCCGCCACCACCCGTCTGTGCTCCAGATGCGTGCTCGATGCTCCTGTGATGCGTACGTGCAATCCGCATCATTCCGACTTCCTGACGGCCCGAAATGCGCCTCGGAAGTCCGCTGTCCCGTATCTCCAAAACGTGCGTCGGATGACGAAACCGACGTCGCCGTTGGAACCGCAGCGCGTCAAACCCCCGGGTAGCATCCCCGTCGAAATCCGGGTCGGTCGCCGGAGGTTGCCGGAATCCGGTCACCGGTCGTCTTCTCCGGGAACTGGTTTTCGGTCAAACTCGACCAAAACCAACGCGACCAGAACTGATGCGTTAGCCTCCTCCTTTTGGTGCTCTCCGCGCCAACCGTCGCTTGAAATACCTCCCGGATCGGTGAAACCGAGCTCTCCAAGTTGGTCGCCGGAATCCCGCCGTCCGGCAACACCACTGCCCAAGACCGGGCTCTCCAAGCTCGCCTCAACACGCCGTGCAATGATCCGCAGGCTGTGAGAATCACCTCCCTCACCGGAGAGAGATCCGAGCCCTCCAAAGGTAGCCCTCTCCTCTCTCTCTTTCTTTGTTTCGATTTGCACCCGAGAGCTCCACACCAAGCGAACGCACGACCCCTCACCAAAGTCAAAATGGTGGGGTTACGGTGCGTCATAAAATAACAACCATTTCGGTAAAAAAAAAACTAAGAATATAGAAATTTCATTTGTCAGCAAGAATAGGTGCACCTCTGGGTGTAAAATCATCACAGAGAAGAAAAAGCATCATGTCAAGTAAGGTTTACAAGAACTGCATGAGCCCATCCATCAATGAAATAGAGTATAATCTTCATGTTTCATAAGCACACCATGGATTTCCATATATTCTATTCCCTATGGTTAAAGGAGTATAATCATAGACCTCCGTACCCACTAAGAGAACCTATGAACCAAAATATTAAGGCCCTCTAGAAAAATAATGATTACAAATTATATCCACGAAATTGAAGATAAAATCACTTGGTTTTCTGCATTGGTGAGAATGCATACATTCACTACTAGTTACTTTGTATAAAACTCGTAAGCATGATTCAAATACAGTGACATTGGAAACAATAAAAATACAGTAATTTTGAACCAAGTAAAATGTAATTGGCTATGCATATCTAGCACATCGCTTTTACCTGTGATTTTCCCATCTCCTCTGATTCTTCAATCCAAAACAACGAGCTAGATCAGAATAAATGCTACAAAAAGATAAAATAATTTTCCCACTTCTTGATTTTATTTCTACTAATAGAGTAATGTCGAAATACCAAGAGAATTCTAGATTTGGGTTCTTGTCACAGCTCAAGACCGGTCCATCAAAGGAATTGTCTAGTACTGAATGATCAAAGAGCAGCTAAGGATAGCTAGGGGTTCGAACTATGTACAAGATTGACAATCTTGATACCATGCCAATGAAAAAAGAACTACTCCCCGATTCTCCATCTCTAAAGGTCAACCTGTTCAATGAAGGATCAAAAGCAGGTTTTATTCTCCAGCATACGGCTATCAAAGTAATAGCCATGGAACAAGAAAAATCCGAGCTGTGAAAGCAAGAATTGCTGTTGCGTAAGCGGCGTAAGCTGATATTCCTACATCGTTTGGCTCCCTGTAGTTCGCTGAGCGTACAACTACCGAGACTCTATCGTTAGTTAAAATGAAGGAAAGGTACAAAACAAGAAGGAGATGATAGAATGGCCTATGACGCATTAAAGGTTTCGAAACAATACAAGCATATATGACACCTTGTATCGCTGGAAAAGGGAGGAAAATGGATTCACCAGGAATGGTGAGAAAAGAGGCTGTACAAGGAGGAAGGGAAGTTTTACGAGCTGACATGAGATTGATTACCGATAAAAGCTTGGAGGGTGTCATTGGAAGGGAAGAAGACGATACAGATAGTATGAATACGTAAGATAAGAAATTTAGTCATTTCCCGCATGCTAATTTCTTTCTAAATTTACTAACATAAACATAGACAGAGAAAACACAGAGAAATGTTCAAAGCACTTTGTTGTATTTGAAGACATTTGCATCTGAGGAGGTAGTTCCAAAGTTTTGTAGGAGGATGTCTTAGTTGAAGAATATGAATTCTGTCACTTCAACTGAAAAGAAGAAAATGAGTTCTTGTAGTCTTCATCCTTTGCTTTTGGATTATTTTATGAATTGTAGTTTACTTTATCCTTTGTTTGTTTATCATTTGTGCAGAAAGGTTTTGGCACTTTCTACCAGTTTGCAGCTAAATAAAAAATCATCCCTGTGGAACTTTGTGAGAGTCGTGTCTATGAAGGTTACCAATGATGTAACCCTTGAAAGCTGAAACTAAAATGTAAAATTATTGTTTAAAATGCAAGGCATACTTGCATTTCCGTATTGGTCATGATGATTGGAAGGCTAGCATGATCAAAGGCCATGAAATCGTCATGTTGGGGAAGAAACAACCCCAAAGTAAAAGCTCTAGTATCCTTATTAGAGATGCTGCCCTGGCATTCCTTTTATGCTGGCGCTTAATCTGGTCTAATCCTACAAATTGTATACCTGGGAAAACTAAAAGTTTTGACAAGAACATAGCCAATACTCCTCAGGAAAACATGTTTCTAACCAGGCAAGAGGCTTTTAAGAAATCTAATTTGATCTCAAGAAAAAGAAGGAAAGCAAATCCATATTCTTAAACCAATTAGAAAAATTTTACTGTCATCTGTCAATTTTCACGAATATGTAAAAATAATTACCATGAGTTGTAATCATATTAGCAGAGGTGGCAACACTAAAAGTTGTGTTTTTACAGATTGGAAGATGGAGATGTACCTAGCATTTTGTGTGTTACTTGGTCACAATCCTGTCCTGTTGTAGAACTAGTTCTATTTTGGACAGAAAGTTATACTGGTCTATAGAGTTAGTAACTTTACAGAAAGTGTTACTGGAAACAGGCAATAAAAACAATTAAAACTGATGGTCCTCTTTTTTTAATGAATGAAAAATGGATTGGTTTCTTAAACTCTATCACTGCTTATCAAAATTACTTGGAAAATTTTTAATTAAATGTCACATTGCCTCACACTAAAAGTGTCAAAGCACCAGATAGAATTCGGATCCTCAGACTTAAGCTTTTTAACGGATGCAGGCCATACTTGTTTCAGGATAGAAACGGAATTCTTAGTATCAACCAACTATCTTAGTTGATAACGTACTCTAGCTGTTGAATCAAGAACTTGTAATTGAATCTCATTTTTATCAAGGAGGGGAGAAGGTTACCTTTGCATAACCTAGCCATTAAGACCAAAAGGTCCAAAACAAAGAAAAAGAGTCAATGGCAATTTATTATACTTTAATTAACACCAAACTCTTTTTTTTTATGTTCATAAAGGCAATAGAAAAACCAAAATGTGAACCATCCTCTTTTGTTCTCCTGTTTTCTAGATAAATTTTAGCCTATTCTGTAGCTTTTCTGCATTAATCTTTCATGTTTATGCATACAGGCCTTCCTATTTCCTGCATTTTCAATTTTGATCCCAGTTAAACCGTCATAGTGGAAAAGGCCATTCTATGAAAGTCTACTTGTATTATTCAGGAGTTCTGGTCATGAAATTTATTTCTGAAAAATGCATTACTCAAGTAGATCAAGTTTCCCTAAGAAACAAATCAAGGGCTTTCAGTTAACTCCTCAGATCAATTTAGCTGAACCAATAAATAGGGCGATTAGTTGAAGATTCTTTTGAAAATCTATCCATGCAGTTAAAAAAGGCCAAGATAACAGATGATTGGATTTTGTTTTGTTTTTAACATAAAGTAATTTCCCTTCCTGATAATTTATCCTGTCAATATCACAACATGCTCATACGCTTTTGATCTGAAGGATGCCTGTCACCTATAGGTATTTGTATCTCCGGCAGGGGTTATGACATGCTTAATTAATCCATAAATATAACTGAAAGATTCTTAGTTTTGTCAAATAGATAAAAAAAAAAATCGACTGTGCAAGACTCTGCTTAAGTTGGTTAGCCTGTTTCCAGCAAGGTCTATTCGATGCTTACAAAGATAGGTGGCATATTCAAAGCATAAACTTTGTCAATTGCTGATACATATGGCCAAAATGAGCACTTACATACCATTTTCTGTTAGTTTTGCAGTTTGATTGGGCTAATGACAAATGATGGAAAAGCTGTCACCAGGGTAATGTAATTATCAAGCATGTTTTATTTCCGGTAATTTTTATAATAGTGAAGCCTTCGGAAAGTGACTTGGACCAAGCTTGTCGGATAGAGATGCAAGCTGGTTTTCCTAATTCATGCCGGTTTCCCTTCAGTGTACAAGAACGCGGCTTCTAAGAGACTAAGCATATCCAGCCCATTCTGATAGTTTCTTTGTTATATGTCCTTACAGGTTCTGCTAACGGTATACAAATTTCATGCTGCAAGTGCCTATGTTGTTATTGGAAATCATGTTCCCACGTTTCGGTTAAATTGCACCAGCCAGTTCATTCATAAATATCTATGCCCCTAAGCACACCATGTATCTCCATGGCTCTATCTATTCTTGACTGACTAATGTTTGCCTTGTCTAGAGTTTTCTTTATGGAGAAGACTCATACCTGCTAACAGTACTTAAGGAACAGGATATCAACGGCCTCAAAAAAAATAACATAAGTCACAAGCTATAACCTTTGTTTTCTCAACTTGTGAAAATGCATACATTCAGTACTGCTAGCTCATGCATTTAAAAGCATGATTCCAAATGTTTTTGACAGGGAAACAATAAAGTAAAGCTTGAACGAAGCAAAATGTTAAGCCTTTTCAGCGTCATCCTTTTCCTCTTAATTTTCCTATGTCCTCTGGTTCTTTGATCCAAAACGAAGGATTACGTAGAAACAAATCCTATAAAATGCAGCCCAACCTAACATTATAAGAACATTTTCCCACTTCTTGAATTCCTCCGTACTAATTGCGAGTGAATTTAAGATTCCGAATCCTGTCACAGGTCTCTGCTGAGGATCAAATCCGAAAATTTGAGGAGTCTGATACTGGTTCATCAGGAGCCCTTCGTATGGATATGTCATAGTGGAAATCTTGTTCATCCATTTCCAGTACCCTGGAATGTCATGGCTGTTTAAGAAGTAGCCACAAAACAAGAAAAAGAGTGCGGTGAAAGCAATGACTGCTGCATAACCTAATATATAATTTGGCACCACTGAGCTCACAAACATCACAAATGAATTGGTTGAAAGAAGGGAAACATAAAGAACAATGAAGAAATAGTAGAATGGCCCCCGAAGCTCCAAAGCTTTCCAAACAATACAAGCATAGACAGCAGCTTGTAGTGCCAGAAAAGGAAGGTATGTGATAAGGCCAGCTATGGTGTAAGCAGAGGCTCTGTAGGCATTATGGGAAGTTTCACGAACAAAAATAAAGCGCTCTAGGATGAAAGCTGGCACGGCATCATTCGAAGAGAAGAAGAAGAGACAGACAGTGAAGATAAAAAAGCTAAGGCGATTGGTGATTCCTTGCAGGTTGATTTTGGGGTTCATGAACATTGTGGCCATCATGAAGCCCATGACAGTGAGGACTGCAAGTCTGGAGAGAAAAAGCTCAGGTGTACGCCTGATGTTCTTGAAGTTTCGGCGCATGAGAATCCAAGTCTCTGAGAAAAAGGAATTTGCAAATTTGGGCCCTAGGTGCTGTACTGAGATCTTTTGAGCAGCATGATCCGGAGTCAGGTAATCATCTTCATTCACAGTATAGTCACTGCTGTGAGGAGTTGGCGTCCCTGGAAGGATATCACTTGAGTGTCTGTAGTAGCCAGGGGATGAACTGCAAAATTTCACGGACGCAAAGAACACGAACATTTCAGCTCTCTCTAAAATCAAAAAAATTTTCCCTCAGAAATTGCCAAAAAACAAAACTACTTTACCTCATTGGATTTGGAGATTTTTTATCACTACGTTGCCTGGTAGGGGTGAATCCGAGTTGGTGCACTAGTCCACTGTGGCTAGCACTCCATGACATTGATGTATTATTGTAAGGGCTCCTCAAACTACGATCAAAATCATTAGCACTTGCGTGCAAGGGAAGGCGCCCATTATTTTTCCTTCCGTCACCACGCCCTTCCATCTGATGGCGGCGGCCATGATTAGCTGGGGGTGGTGTCGGGGCAGCCGTTGAAACAGACATTTCCTCTTCAGTCAGTGGGGGTGGTCTTAGGCCAGTTCTAGCAAATTCAGCAACTGCTTCAACTCCAAGTTCAGATTGATCATATTCTTGAATCACATCAATAAGGAACTCTATTGCATTTTCACCCTTGGGGACCTTCCTCCCCATCCGATTGAGATGTAGAGTGACATCTTGTGGTGATCCTTGATACATGAGCTGGCCACGAGCAAGGACAATGAGATGATCAAGGAGCAGCTGGATTCTGGATGAGGGTTGGTGAATCGTGAGGATCACAGTACTACCAGAGCGCGCAATGTCCCGCACCTTTTCAATTACACTATAAGCACTAGTGGAGTCTAGACCAGAAGTTGGCTCATCTAAGAAGAGCAAGGATGGTCCATGAATTATGTCAACACCAATTGAAACTCTACGGCGCTCACCACCTGAGACTCCTCTAGTCCCAGCATCACCTATATAGGTGTTCCAGGAGGACTGCAAGAAAGTAGTAACAACTCACATAAATTAAGAACTTCACTAGAAAGCAGTTTGCTGGTAAATGCATGAGAATCTGGAATAGTTGGTTCCTGAAACCAATTTTCAGGCTACAGATAAGATGAATATAGAACCACATCAAGAAGAGGTTGAAACTGGAAACTGTACTTACTGTCAATCCAAGCTGGTGAATCAACTTCTCCACACGTTGCCTCTTTTCCACTCTTGAGATTGGTCCAAGTCGAAAATCAGCAGCAAACATCAATGTCTCGTAAACAGTAAGCATTGGGAACAACCTATCATCTTGCATTATATAAGCTGAAGTCCTTTTAATCAAACTTGGGCTCATTGCCATTCCATCCAAAGACACCCTACCCTTAAGGCTTCCACTAGCAATACGGCCTGCCAAACCATCCAGGAAAGTAGATTTGCCAGCACCACTAGGCCCCATGACCGCAGTGATGCACCCTTTTGGTGCATACCCGGTAATCTTATGCAACAAGTCCACTTCCTGGCTCAACCATTTCCCTTCTAGCTTCTTCTTCTTTATCACAGTATAAGTAAGGCCAGAACACTCAAGCCCTCCAGTCAAAGTCACCGGCTTGTTCCCTATATCAATAACTGTATCACGGGCATGACCGTTTCTATGAGCCATAGTTTAAGACCAGTAAAGAAACAATATACGATTTTTATTTTGGAAAAGGTTATGGCATGGACAGAGGAAAGAGAGTAGAACCTTTGGACAACCAAACTAGTTTTTTTCTTTTTTATTTTCTCCTGTCGGTCTCCTAAACTGTGTTTGATGAGGTGATGGGGGAATTAAAAGGAGGGAAGATCATGAGAAAATGACTTTTACAGCTGGTGGGGCAGATCGAGGAGGTAGTTCCAAAGTTTTATATGGGGCTGTCTTCATTGAAGAATCCGATTCTAGTCGTTTTGATCGAAAAGAAAGAAATGACTTCTTGTAGTCTTCATCCTCTCAATTCGGCGTTAGCATCTTCATTGTGGCTCTGGATTTTCCTACCCTTAATCCATTTCCTTGGATGCATGTCTACGGTTTCATGCAATATCCAGCAAATCAACCTTATATTACCTTTCCTTTCTAAGGAAGATGCATAGCATTTGACAAGTGTAAAGAACTGATTGGCAAGATTTCATTAGCAATTGGGCTTTGCTGGCTCTGAGGTGTCCCTGGAGGAGTAGAGAAATAAACCTTTGTTTTTATTGGTAAATGAAGGATTTACTAATCACTTGTTCTTGAGAGAAATAAAAATGTCAATGTCAACTTAGTTCTCAACAGGGTGTGTGAAATGAAGCTCCTTTGTCTATTAGTGTTAAAACTTTTTCTTTTTAATATTGGATTTGATGATGCATATTTCCAAGAGTTTTGAAATAGTATCAAATATTAACCAATAGGATCAAAAAGTTTTTGAACTTTTTGTTGTGTTTGTACCTGACATTAAATTTTGTGAGTGTTGGACATGGTTTATACTTTTGTTTTTTTCCTTCCACTGAAAGTGTTTTGAGTTTTCATAGCAGATTGGTTAGCACTGTAAAATTTATCCTTCCTTTGGACAACTTTGTTAACTAAACCCATGTTTCCTACTCTTACCAGATCTGGTTTGCCATTTGGATTTCAAAGGGTCCAAACAAGTGGGCTTCTCATAAGAAAGGTGTTTCAAACTTACAAGAGAAGATTATAAGCCCAATCAAGACAAGATTGCAAGATCAAATCAAAAACATCAGTTTGTTTGGGAGATATTTATTTTATCCATACTTTAGAAGTCCAGCCATGGAAAGAGCCACTTCTCCCCTCCTTTTTCTTCTCTGCTCCATGCCAAAGCAGTAAAGGAGCAGCAATGAGCATTCTTTTGGGACTTGAAATATCAATCCCCACCAACAATAACACTCTCTTATTCTCTTTCAATGACAAACTACTCCCAACAACCTTCAAAATCCGTCTTTTATCTTCTCCCTCTCATTTCCCCTTCCAACTCGGGCCAAGAAGGAGGAGAAGAAAGCAAAGCCACAGCTTCCCTCCCTCCAAAAATCTACTCTTTAATCCCAGTAAGCATTAAATTACCTCTCTCTCTCTGCGCTTTATTCAGCTCAATATTTATTCATAGGCTGCTTTCTGTTTCTGGGTATTTCTTCTTGTCATATTTTATTGCTTTAATTTGTTGTGAATGAGTTGTTTTTCATCTTTTTTCTGGATTTTTGCATCTTGTCATTTAATTATAATGACCGAAATTAAAACCCCACTTAAAACCTATTTTCAGAAAGCAAAAATGAAGTTAAAAATTATGGTTTTTTATATTTGTTATTTAAAAGAAAAACTGGTTTTTTCAGGTCTTCAAGCGAGTAGTATAGCTAATGCTCAGGTTGAAGAACAAGCAGAGGTTGAAGTTGCAGAAGGCTATACAGTAACCCAACTTTGTGATAAAATAATTGATGTCTTTTTGAATGAGAAACCCAGAGTAAAAGAATGGAAAAAGTACTTGATACTAAGGGAAGAGTGGAATAAGTATAGGGAAAGCTTCTATAATCAATGTCGAACCCGGGCTGACAAGGAGATTGACCCAACTATGAAGCAAAAGTTAATTTCTCTGGAAAGCAGGGTGAAGAAGGTATAAACCATGTTTTCCATATCCCAAAGCGTTTGAATTTTCTTATATTAACTTGTTTGGTAAGGATGGGAGTTATGAAATCTCATGTTTTTTGTAAATTTGGAACTTGAAGAAATGAGAAAACTCACCCCAATCAGACCAAGCTTTTGTTGGGGGGACTTAGTAGGGTCAAATTTGTAGTTTTCTCAGTATCTTAAGGATTAATATTCATAGCTCTATTTATGTTTCTTTTTTCAACTTTTCTAAAGTGACTGATATGGGGTTAATTTTGAATTTAGATACTCTTTTTGGTTTTAGAGGATCTTTTGGTTTGTGTAATCAGGAATGAGCATTGCAGATTGATGATGAAATGGACAGACACAGTGAACTTCTCAAGGAGATACAAGATAGCCCCACAGATATAAATGCAATTATTACAAGGCGACGTAAAGACTTCACGGATGAATTTTTCCGCTACCTCGCTCTGGTTTCAGAAACCTATGATGGTCTGGAGGACCGTGATGGTAAGCATTATGCATCTGTGACCTTAGCTGTCTCAATTGGTTTGCTGGTTGAAAACTAGATATTCTAAGATGATAAGAAGTGACAATGCCTTCAAAAGTTTAACATTTTTATCTTTCGTCCTCTCGCTTGCTTGCAGATGGCTTAATTAGAAAACCTTTATATTTTTTTGGAGCAGGTGTAGCTAGACTGGCCGCAAGATGCTTGTCTGCTGTTGGTGCTTATGATAAGACACTGGAGGCTGTGGAGAATTTAGATGCTGCCCAGGCAAAATTTGATGATATACTAAATTCTCCTTCTGTGGATGTGGCATGTGAAAAGATCAAAAGCCTTGCCAAGGCAAAGGAACTTGACTCTTCATTGATTCTATTGATAAATAGTGCATGGGCTTCAGCAAAGGAGTCCACCACTATGAAGAACGAGGTATTGCCATTATGCTGCATCTTGGTCTCTTTCTTGAGTTATTTCATTAAGGAGATAAAAAAAATATGCAATTCACATGTTTATGCCTATTCTATCTTAATTATAGTTTTGTTTTGTTTTTTATTTTCTTTAAGATCTACTATGGAGGCATTTAAAAAACATGGTTCGGTTCTTAAGTCTGTGATGAACACCAAGTCTCAATCATCTAAGGCAAAAGAAAGTTGGAACACCATATGCCTAGTTTTTCTATTCTCTTACTTCTCTTTTTCTACATCTACGTGCAGGTTAGAGACATCATGTATCGCTTATACAAAGCCACAAAGAGCAGTCTTAGGAGTATTGCACCAAAAGAGATAAAGTTGCTCAAGCATCTGCTAAACATCACGGACCCTGAAGAGAGATTTTCTGCATTAGCAACAGCTTTCTCTCCAGGGGACGAACATGAAGCCAAGGATCCTAATGCTTTATACACGTAAGCTAATTTCTTCATCTTCAAATTATTGTTGCACCTTTTATTACAACAGCATGACATGTTCTATTTGTTTGCCATTTCGTGGTTGAGCAGTACTCCAAAAGAGCTGAATAAGTGGATTAAGATCTTGCTGGATGCATACTCTCTGAATAAGGAGGAGACTGACATCAAAGAAGCTAAAAAGATGACTCAACCTATAGTTATACAAAGGCTGTTCATCCTCAAGGAAACAATTGAAGAAGAGTACTTGGATCAAAGGACAACAGTAACAGAGCATACGGAGGATAAAATGGAATCGGAAGAGTTCTAAACTATAACCTATGTTCATCAATATACATGAGGACCATCTAGCAACCACCTGACATGTTTTTCTGCTAGAAAAAGAAATTAGGTTTCAATGGCGAATCTTAGAATGTGACTCATTCATAGCTTATACTATGGCCACAGACAAGTTATGGATCTTTATGCTGTATTTGATAAGGAGTGGCAATGTGGGAGGATATTACCTCTTTGAGCTACCGGGTACGAAATGAGGTGGCATAATTCAACTATTAGATGAAGAAAACTTTCATTGTTATCTTGTTATCCATTAATATCAAATGCACTGTTAATTTTGTCACGGTGCGACCCTTGACATCAAAGTTTCTTTTATGCATACTTTGCAGTAAAATTGTAGTCCCGACCAGGCTTTGAACTGCTTAGGCCAGGCCCAGCTGGGCCCAAAATAATTTACCATCAAAACTTGCCTGATAAGGCAAAGCAGACAAGTCTTTTTTGACCTGTATTTCCTCATGACTTGTTGCCCACGAAGCGTAGACTAAGGGGCGTTTCGTATGGCGTTTGGTATGCTTACACCAGACCCGCTGGGCCCAAAATAATTTACTATTATAACTTGTATTAGGCAAAGCAGACGTCTTTTTTGACCTGCATTTCCTCCTGGCTTGTTGCCCCCAAGCGCATTTGGCAGACGGTAGCTGAGGGACATTTCATTTTGAGATGAGAAAGTTCTCTCATCGACGGTGTGATGACAATAATGTCAACTTTCCCTCTACAAAAGAAAAGTAAAAAAATATTCTTCCCAACTTAATCTCTCAACCCTTCTCTTCTATTTTCTGTTCTATTCTTCTTCTCCTTCTTCTCATCGTCTGTAAGAAGAGTAGTCAGTTATCAATACATTTGGATCAAATTTCACTATCAAATTTTTTTTAAAATTTAGAGAAATTAGGACTTTAAGGTTTTAAAAAACCCTAATTCGAATTTTCTTATTTTAAAAAATTTTGTGTTTTTTGATATCGAAAATTGAAAGAGAAACACAAAATTTGAAAGTGTTTAAAGAAAATTTTGTATTTTTCATGTCAAAAATTGAAAGAAAAAAACTTTAAACAATTTAGAATTGGAGAAATTTATTAAAGAATTGAGAAGATTTGAGAAAAAAGAATGATTTGGATGTCGCATTTATGAGAGAAAAAAAATTTATTAAAATAATACATTTATCAAAACATGAGAATATCTTTTGATAATTGATTTATCAATAAATTTTTCTTTGAAAATATTTTTTATTATTCATATGATAATTCTAAGCATTATTATTTTTAATTTTTATAACTTTCAGATAAAAATAAATATTTAGTAAATTTAATATTTTAATACTTTAATAATTAATAGTAAAATATTATACTATTTTTATCATATTATTATTTATTATTTTTAAAAATAAAATTAAAAAATTAAATTTTTTTCATTAAAACATATAAATTTATTTAATTTTATATTTTTATACATAAAAATAATTTACTAAATTTATATTACATTTTCAATGCTTTCAAATGAAATCCTATAATATAATATTCAACGATCACATTTCTTATAATTATTACTTTATCATGTTATATCAAATAGCGTTCACCAAACACAATTTAAATTTATTTTCTCTTGACATGTTTCTATTTTATTCCTACTTTACCATCCAAGCCCACCAATAGAAACCGTTATTCTCAAAATGACATAAGGCCAAAACTGTCATTCCATCACAAAACCCTTCTTGTTAAATGCAACCCACCACCATTTCCCTAAAACCCTAAAACAGTCTTAAACCCTCTGGTCCTCATAAAGGCTTTTGCTTTTTGCTTCTCTCATGGCTGCTTCAGTTCTTCGTCGTGCTTTACAACGCCGTGAGCTTCATGCTGCTTCTCTCTCTGCTTGCAGATCGGTAAGTTTCTCATTTCTGTATTTTGGGTCTTTTGGGTTTTAACTTCTGTTCAAAGTTTCGGTCTTTTTGATGTCAAAAGTCAATGCTTTTTGCTTGATGTTCTTTTCGTTTTTTATTTTCTTTTCCTTTCATGTTATCTGATTTAGAATTCTGCTTTAACTTTCATTCCTTAATGGGGAAATTGTAGAGTCTTTGCTCATTTTCAATGTTTGTTTAAAGGTTAAAGATTTTATATTGTAGCAACATTAATGGAGTTTTTCTGCCTTTGTTTTATTTTCTTGATTTTGGGTCTTAGGCTTTTAATCAAATGATCAGATCAATGCTAAAAGGAAAAAAAATGGGTCTTTTTCTTTGTTGGGTTTAAGTTAAGTCGGATTGGGTTCCTTTTGGTTAGTCATGAGCTGTTGGATTGTTAATAATTATGGACTAGAATAGTTTTATAGTTATGAACTCTTCTGAGTTAACGTTAGTAAACAAATTTGAAATATTGTGTTAGGGATCTTCAGGATGAGATATTCCAATGTGGATTTTTGTATTAGTAGAATATAATTGACCATTAAAGCTTACTAGTGTTCTTTATGTTTTTGTCATAGTTGACTGGAAATGCAAAGACATCATTGGCTAGCTCTCCACTAGTCAGATGGGCATCCTTGGCGAGATCCTTCAGGTGATCTTATTGTTTCTTCTAAACATTATCCATCTCAATGGCTTTTTGTTTGCTAATATGTTGTTGTCCCTGCAATACAGCTCACGTCCTGTTGGTAATGATGTTATCGGTATTGACTTGGGTACAACCAATTCATGTGTATCGGTGATGGAGGGAAAGGTAGATTATACTTTTTCCTATTAATATTACTAATCCTTGTTGAAATACATAATAGAATTCCCTTTTATTATGGGGAACTATGTTCGACTCATAATATTTGAGTTTTTCGTTATGCATTTTGCAGAACCCTAGAGTAATTGAGAATGCTGAAGGAGCTCGAACCACGCCTTCAGTGGTTGCCTTCAACCAGCAGGGGGAGCTAATTGTTGGAACCCCAGCCAAGCGTCAGGCTGTGACCAACCCAACAAACACATTTTTTGGAACCAAACGTCTGATAGGGAGACGTTTTGATGATCCCCAGACGCAGAAAGAAATGAAGATGGTACCATACAAGATTGTTAGAGCTCCCAATGGGGATGCTTGGCTTGAAGCCAATGGAAAAACTTATTCTGCAAGCCAGATTGGTGCATTCGTTCTAACAAAGATGAAGGAAACTGCAGAGGCATACCTTGGTAAAACAGTGACCAAAGCTGTCATAACTGTTCCTGCTTATTTTAATGATGCACAAAGACAAGCCACCAAGGATGCTGGGCGGATTGCTGGGTTAGATGTTGAGAGGATTATCAATGAACCAACTGCTGCTGCGCTTTCCTATGGGATGAATAACAAAGAAGGTATCATAGCAGTATTTGACCTTGGAGGTGGAACTTTTGATGTTTCTATATTAGAAATTTCTAATGGTGTTTTCGAGGTATGCTTCTTTTTCCTTTTTTGATGTTTTTTTCATTGCTTTTGCTAAGTTGATTTACTTAGGGATCTCTTTATCAGGTAAAAGCAACCAATGGAGACACCTTCTTGGGTGGAGAGGACTTTGACAATGCACTATTAGAATACTTGGTGAGCGAGTTCAAGAGAACTGATAACATTGATCTCTCAAAGGACAGGCTTGCCCTGCAAAGGCTTCGGGAAGCGGCTGAAAAGGCTAAGATTGAACTTTCATCTACATCCCAAACTGAAATCAACCTTCCATTTATAACTGCTGATGCATCTGGAGCAAAACATTTAAATATAACTCTAACCAGATCCAAGTTTGAGGGTCTGGTGAGCAGCTTAATTGAGAGAACTAGAATTCCATGTAAGAATTGTTTGAAAGATGCTGGGATATCCATTAATGATGTCGATGAAGTATTGCTTGTTGGTGGAATGACTCGTGTCCCCAAGGTGCAAGAAATTGTTGCAGAAATTTTCGGCAAGTCTCCAAGCAAAGGGGTTAATCCTGATGAGGCAGTTGCAATGGGAGCTGCTATTCAAGGTGGTATCCTTCGAGGTGATGTTAAGGAGTTGCTTCTGTTGGATGTAACTCCTCTGTCACTTGGTATTGAAACACTTGGAGGAATTTTTACTAGGTTGATCAACAGAAATACGACTATTCCTACAAAAAAATCACAGGTCAGTTGCGTCATATATATTGGAGAGTACAATAACTTTGCTGGTAGTGTCTAAAACTAAAAGTTGATTATGTTGTGCCTATAGACTTTGTATCAGAGTACCTAAACTATTCTCTATCTGTTAGTAATACGTATGTAGCCTGCAACAGTAGAATGTTTTGCCAATGCAAACACATGTCTGCACAAATGAATCCTTGCCATCTTGTGTAGATAAGTGTTATTGTCGTAAAATGATAACTTAGTGTTTTTGCTTGCTGCTATTGACGGCATACTATTTTAAGTTTTAACAATCCTCTGTTCACATCTGAAGATGTGTTGAGATATCTTTTGGACAACAAATTATACTAGCTTTTGTGGTTTCAGGCTTTCTCTACTGCAGCAGATAACCAGACTCAGGTTGGAATTAAAGTTCTTCAAGGTGAACGTCACATGGCTGCTGACAATAAGCTTTTGGGTGAGTTTGATCTTGTTGGTATTCCACCTGCACCTAGAGGCATGCCACAAATTGAAGTCACATTCGACATTGACGCCAACGGAATTGTAACTGTTTCTGCTAAGGATAAGGCAACAGGAAAAGAACAGCAGATCACAATCCGATCATCTGGAGGTCTTTCCGAGGATGAGATTGAGAAGATGGTGAAGGAGGCTGAGGTGCATGCTCAGAGAGATGAGGAGAGAAAAACTTTGATTGACTTGAGAAATAGTGCTGACACAACCGTATACAGTGTTGAGAAGAGCTTGAATGAATACAGAGACAAGATTCCCAGTGAGATTGCATCAGAGATAGAGTCTGCTGTGGCCGATTTGAAGAAAGCAATGGCCGGGGACAATATAGATGAAATCAAGGCCAAAATGGACGCTGCCAATAAGGCTGTTTCAAAGATTGGTGAGCACATGAGTAAGGGTTCTGGTAGTGCTGGCGGTTCCTCTGGAGGGTCCCAGGGTGAGGATCAGGCCCCAGGAGCAGAATATCAGGAGGCCAGGAAATAAAGGCAGGGTCAGAATGCATGATACCTGACGTATATTCTTACATTATTGATTAGATCATGATTTTGGCAAATTTGTATCTAATTGAGTTATAATAGATGTTCATTTAAAAACCTGAAGGTACAGGATTGCGGTGCAATCCTAATTCTCCTTGTTAGGAACGTTTTATGCTCTCTTTTGCAGTTTAAAATCCATTTTCATTGAGCACTCTACTTATATCTTGATCCTCATAAAGAAAGGAAACCTTTTTTATTTACATATAGGACTGTACAATTTACTCATACTCTGCTTCATGTTGGTTTTGAATATCAGGAAGTCTATTTGGACAGTGGGGCTTATACAAATTGATATTAGTAAGGAAATAATGTTTAATTATTTGAACATATGGAGCTGTGGTGGATTCATCGTTACGCCACAGTGGAAAAGTGAGAGAGACATCATCAACCATGAAACATGGCTTTTACCAATTTGGGTTGCCAGATTCAATTATCTTTTTTGATAAAGCTCACGGCATTTGCACTTGCATTGAGCCAAGCATTGTACTGCACATCACTTTCTGTACTATGTACTACCGTTTCTTCTCTACACGTGTTTCGTACACGAAAGAAATCAACAAGAGAAACAACACCAACATCGTGACAGGCGGTTGGATCCACGATATCCTCCGTTTTGAATTGTTCAATTTTGTCTAATCTGAGATCAGAAAAAGGCTAATAATTGTGGCTAAGCTTTTGTCTTCTAGTCCATATATTTCCCCACCTAATGAAAAAGAAAGCCAATAATTCAAATGAGCAGACTCTCAGTAGAAGAAAACTTTTTCTGTTTTTGGAGGTTTTTTTGTGCTTGTTGCAAGAAATCACATTGATTTCGATTATCAAAAGAAACCACCCTTGGGCTTTGCGTCTGTTGTCGTTAAAGCCTCTTAGAGAGGGGGTACCTTGGATTGGAACACACAGGTTTGTAAAAAGCTCACCACTAGCACTAGGCCAAGAGCTCATGGTTCATGGGTTTTGTTCCATTATGCTGTGAAGGTTCTACTATATTTTCCTTCTTACTTCTTGGAAAATTATCATATAAAATTTATGAAGTTAAGATAAAGATGTAAGAAATAAAATAATTATTAGACAACTTCAATGCAAGTTACAAGTCCATATCAATGACATGCTAATATTTGTTTATTTCTTAATTTAGAGTTTTTTTTTCTTTGACATTAATCCAAGCAAAAGAAAGAAAAAACAGGGAAAATGCAGTGAGAGAGAGATAACTGAGGCATATTCTCCCTTGGGAAAAAGACCTTTGACACCCTCCCCAGTAAATGTTTAATTGCTTCAATAAATATATCAAAGAATAAATTGTTGAAACTTAAAAAGAGTTAACTTTTTTGAAATGGCACAATTTTACGGTCAACAGATAGCCAATTAACCGTCACCCGACACTAGAAAGAACACAAAAAGACTTCCTTTCCCAAGGGTAATTTGGACACTTCGTAGACAGTAGAGATGGAAAAACGAAACATTGAAAGGATACTTTGGTCATTTTACTTACTCCATTCAGACAACACTTATCCTACGTAACCCGGCATAAATATGGCAACTGAGAATGCACCTATGCGAGGAAGCCAACTGAAATAAAATACACGACGGTTCTTACTTATACATTGCGCACCCATTGCTTTCCAGGCGGTTGCCTAACATTTTTTCCTGTAATCTCATCGAGATTTTGTCAGTTATTAAATTCAATTATAATTCTTGTTATTGAGTTCATTGTTATTATTATTTTTGTTTTGTTAATGATGGGATTGTTTTATAGGTGGGAATTAAGGGATGGAATTGGAGAAAGAGCAAGAATTGGAATGGATTGAAGCACAAAAGATAGAGGTAAGTCTGGACCTTGTGGCTGCAGCCAAGAAGCAGCTTGAGTTTCTTGCAGCTGTAGATAGGAATCGTTGGCTCTATGATGGTCCTACTCTCCAAAGAGCCATTTACAGGTGATCACTTTTTACAATTCAAAATCCCGATTGTTTCTAAATTTTTGTTGCTAGAGTCATCATTTTCCAATTTTCAAACTCTGGGTCTCTTTTGGGTTGGGTAATATTGACTTGGATTTTTTATTTTTGGCTGTCAACTGTACTGTGCCAGTGGCTTTTCAAATACTAAAATTTTGATCTTCTTTCAGTTTTTCCGAGTTATTTATTTGATTCTTAGCATGAATTCCCTCCAATTCATGCTTTTTCTGCGATCCTTGGGAACTAAATCAT